ATATATATATATATATATATATTGCTGAGCTGTACATCCACCCCAAACCGCGAGATGAAAATAATTATCTCGCTGTAATCCCTGAAAAGAAATTTATTTTTTAAACGCGCACCACCTAAAACATCAAAAGACAGCAGCACAAAATAATAAAAAAGAAATTGCATGCATGCTAATAGAGACATTAATGCATGCATGCATGCAAACAGATACATTAATGCATGCAAACAGACACATGCATGCATGTATGCAAATAGATACACTAATGCATGCATGCATGCATGCAAATAGATACATTAATGCATGCAGACAGATACATTAATGCATGCAAATGGATACATTAATGCATGCAAGCAGACACATGCATGCATGCATGCATGCATGCATGCATGCATACAGTTTCAGGTGTATACAGAAATGCCACTACGTAGCTGAAAGCAGCAAGAAAAGCGACCCCGTTAGGGTTTAGGGTTTAGGGTTTAGGGTTTAGGGTTGTTTATACTTTAACTGCTTGTCTTTGACCCCTTCTTCTTTCTCTCGCTTCTCTCGCCTCTTCAATTTTTCGCCTTTCTTCTGGAGGCATTTTTTTTAATGCATTTTCTTCTTCTTGCTTCTTTTCAATGCGACGCCGAATAGCCTCCTGCATGCATTAATGCATGCATGCATGCATGCACCAAACAAACAATTATAAATGCATGCATACATGCATGCGTGCCGTCGTGCACGCATGCATGCATGCAACAAGAAGACAGTAAAAGCATGCATGCACAATATAATAAATATAACAACACAGTAGCATATCAAAAAACTTTAATAACAATATAAAATTGTATAATAAATCATATATACAATAACATAAAACTTAATAATAAATATATATATATATATATATATTTATTCATTTATTTATTTATTTATTTATTTTAGTTGAGTATACACTCGCACCTCTTCTTGCTCCTTTCTTCTTTTTTTATGTTCTTCCTTTTCATACGCCAGACGCATGCGACGGGTCGACTCAATACACTGCAAAACAAAAAAAACATCAAACAGCAAAACGCTGCTGCTGCTGCTGCTGTTGCTGCTGCTGCTGTTGCTGTTGCTGTTGCTGCCGTTGCAGCAGCAGGGGCCGATGCAGTTGTATATACACCTGAGGTATATATATATTATATATATAAATATATATTATTATATTATATATATATATATTTGAGGTGTATATACACTTACAGCATCGCTGAGTTTGAGAGTGGATATCGCGTCGATTAATTTGCAGGCAAATGCAATCGGCAGCCTGAAAATAAAAAAATAAAAGTAAAGAAAGCAAATAAAAATAAACAAAAACAACAAAAGATAAAGTATATTATAAAGATAAAGTGTATATAAAGATAACTCCGCATGCATAAGAAGAGAGAAGAAATATACAAATACAAATAATAAACAAATTAATATTGTGCTAACAGAAAAACAAACAAACAAAAATAATTGAGGCCCTCTAACTGTACAGAAGGAAAAACAGAGGCTGTTGCATCAGCAGCAGCAGCAGCTGCTGCTGCTGCTGCTGCTGCTGCTGTTGCTGTTGCTGCTGATGCTGCTGCTGCTGATGCTGCTGCTGCTGATGCTGCTGCTGCGGTTCACCCAAAGACACTATTAACTACTACAACTGTCGCTGATGCTGCTGGTGTTGCCGTTGCTGTTGGTTCTATTGCTATTGCTGTTGCTGTTGCTGCTCCTACTGTTGCTGTTACTGCAGTAGCACCAGCAGCAGCAGCAGCAGCAGCAGCAGCAAGAGTCTTACCTTGCGTCGACGTTTGCGTCGCCTTCTGGTAAATAATACGTCAGCCGCAACACCCGCTTCCTGAAAAGAAGAACACGAGCAGCAGCAGCAGCAGCAGCAGCAGCAGCAGCAGCAGCAGCAACACCAAGGAATAGTCACCCCCAAAGGCTCCATCGCAGCGGCAACAGCAGCAGCAGAAGCAGCAGAAGCAAGCGCAGCCAAAGAAGCAAGGAGAAAAACAAGCAAAGCAGGAGCAAGCAAAGCAGCAAACGCATCAGCAGCAGCAGCAACAGCAGCAAACGCATCAACAGCAGCAAACGCATCAGCAGCAGCAGCAACAGCAGCAAACGCATCAGCAGCAGCAGGCACATCAAGTGCAACAGCAGCAGCAGCAGCAGCAAGTACAGAAGCAGCAGCAAGTGCAGCAGCAAGCTCAGCAGCAATAACGTACGGTTTGTTTGGTGCTGCTGCTGCTGTTCCGTACAGCGCAGCAATAGTAGGGGCAAGTGTGGGGTTGGTGTTTGTGCATAGATCTGAGGTGTACATACACTTGAGGTGTGGTGCCAGCTGCTGCAGCAACTTTAATACTCCTGGAGTCTCTAGCAGCTTCTCTGCTGCTTCGTTCGTATCAGAGAATAACACCAAACCAGAAGGCAGCAAATTGCTGCTGCTGCTGCTGCTGCGCAACTTGCAAAACTCCGCCTGCAGCAGCAGCAACAGAAGAAAGCAGCATGAGAGGCAGCAGAAACATGAACGGCAGTAAAAGCACCAACAGCAACAAAGTAAGCAGCAGCAATAGCAGCAACAACAGAAGCAGCAGCAGCAGCAGCAGCAACAGAAGGGCAGCCACACCCATACACAAGCAGCAGCAGCAGGAGCACTACAGTTTCAGCACCACCAACAGCAGCAGGAGAATCAGCAGCAGGACGACGACACGCAGCAGCAACAGCACGTCAAGCAGCAGCAAGACAAGCAGCAGCAGCAAGACAAGCAGCAGCAGCAGCAGCAGCAGAAGCTGACGATATCCCAGTGGTTCTCGAGCGTATTTCTTTGTTCTTCTTTTCTACAGACTGCAACAATAAATGCTTCGCCAGCTGGAGGCAGCAGCACTTCAATTGTTGCAGCATCTTCGCCTCCACCAACTAAACCCCGCAGCAAAACACCCCTCCACAGATCCTGACGAGGCACGCACTGCAGCAGCAGCAGCAGCAGCAGCAGCAAAAGCAGCAGCAGCAGCAGCAGCAAAAGCAGCAAAAGGAGGGGAATGAAAGGAGCAAAAAGAGCAGCAAATGCAGCAGCAGCAGCAAACGCATGGATATTATGCAGAAGCAAGACGCCTCAGCTAGCAGCAACTGCAGCAGCAACTGCAGCAGCAACTGCAGCAGCAACTGCAGCAGCAACTGCAGCAGCAACTGCAGCAAAATGCCAGGAATCGTAGCAGCAGCAGCAACAGCAGCAGTATCAGCAGCATCATCAAAAGCAGCAGCAGCAGCAGCAGCAAGAATGCGTTGGTATTACACCGAGAGTAAAGCGCATCATCAGCATCAACATGCAGCACCAACAGCAGCAGCAGCAGCAGCAGCAGCAGCAGCAGCGGCATCAGCAGCAAGAATGCGTTTGTTTTACATTGAGAGTAAGAAGCATGCAATCGCAGTTGCGTCTGCCAGAAGCAAATAATTCAAAGTCGCTGAAAGACAAAGCAGTAAAAACTCCTCCTGCTGCAGCCCCAACCTCAGCAAACTGCATGCGCAGCAACTCTTGCACTTCTTGTAACCTGCAGCAGCAGCAAAATGCAGCAGCAGCAGCAGCAAAATGCAGCAGCGGCAGCAGCAAAATGCAGCAGCAGCAGCAGCAAAATGCAGCAGCAGCAAAATGCAGCAGCAGCAGCAGCAAAATGCAGCAGCAGCAGAAAATGCAGCAGCAGCAGAACATGCAGCAGCAGCAAAAGCAACATATATCCAGCAGCAGCAGAAGCAAGTGCAGCAGCAGCAAAAGCAACATATATCCAGCAGCAGCAGCAGCAAGTGCATAAAAACTAGCAAAAAGAAACAGAGCAATAAAAAAGCAAAAATAAATAAAAATAAACAAAAGGAGGTAAAAATAAACAAATAAAACAAACAACAAAATTACAAACAAAAATAAACAAACAAAAACAAATAAAAATAAACAAACAAAACTAAGCAAATAAAACTAATAAATAAATAATAATAAATAAATAATAATAAATAAATAATAATAAATAAATAATAAATAAATAATAATAAATAAATAATAATAAAAATATAAAGAATAAATTAATTAAAAAGATAGACCTACCAGCGGATTGCGATTTTTGTGTTTCTTCGCTTCCCGAGTATTGCAGCAGCAACAACAGCAGCAAATAGAACAGCAGCAGCAGCATCAATAATATAATAAGCTGTGAGGAAGCCCCACACTGCATGCAGCCCCCCTAAACTGTCTCCCTTTTGCTGCTGCTTTGCTGCTGCTGCTGCAGCGGCAGCAGCAGCTGCTGCTGCTGAGGGACTTGCTGCTGAGGCTGCTGCTGCACCGGGAGCTGCTGCAGCCGGGGTATCTCCTGCTGCTGCAGCAGACATAAAGGCAGCAACAGTAGCAGCAAATAATGAAGCATCAGCTGCAGCAAATAATGCAGCAGCAGCAACAACAGCAGCAGCAACACCACCCAGCAACAACAGCAGCAGAAAAAAGCAGTTCTGCTTTGTGTGTGTATATACACCCCAAAACGCTGCTTATACTCCTTTGTTTGCTGTTACTGCTGCTGCTGCTGCTGTTGCTGCTGTTGCTTTTGAAGAAGAGGCATTGTTGCTGCGTTTGTATCTGTGTAGTTAGGGTTTAGGGTTTAGGGTTTAGGTGTTGAGTGGCGGCAGCAAAGCGGTGTACGTACACCCCGTTGCTGCAGCAGCAGGAGACAGTTTGCTGCTAATGCCGAAGGCCTGCGGCAGCAGCAGCAAATCATCTGTCTCTTCGAACTCTGTCTCTTCTTCTGCAACAAACAAACAATGAAAATCCTTTTGTTGTGCTGTACATACACCTCGTATATATATATATATATATTTATTTATTTATTTATTTATTTATTTAATACAAATAGATGTCGATATAGATATCTAGATATCTAGATATATAGATATACAGATATTAGATAGAGACGTAGAGATATATATATACATATATACATATATATATAATATATATTGCATAACAACATATTTGCATGCATGCATATGGCGATGCATGCAAAACATAAAACTAAAAGGAGGGCCCCACCAAACAAATCAACAAAAGAGACGAAAAACAAAAACAACAAACAACAAACGACGCAGCAAATACAAAGAAAAGCATGCATACAAACACCCAACAAGGGGCCTCAGCAGCAGCAGCAGTAGCTGCTGCTGCTGCTGCTGCTGTAGCAGTAGTAGTAGATACACCAGCAGCATGTACAGAAGCTGATGGAGCAGCAGCTGTAGCAGCAGTACGTGCTGCTGCAGCTGCAGCAGCAGGTTCAGCAGCTGACGGAGCAGCAGCTGCAGCAGCAGCAGCTGCTGCTGCTGCTGCTAGACAGGTGGCAGTGATAGCTTGCTTATAGGGCCCCCGTCTTACCGTCTCCAGCGCTCAGCGAGGCTGCTGAGGGGCCCCCAGGGGCCCCCTGTGATGGAGCCCCCTCATGAGGATCTGTGGGTTGTGCTGCAGCTGCTGCTGCAGCTGCGACTGCAGCTGGCTGCTGCAGCAGGAGCTGCTGCACTGCAGCAGCTAAGAGCAGCAGAGCAGCAGCGCCAGAAGGGAATAAATGTGTTTTCATGTTTTGTGTCTTTGTTGTTGAATAAAAGACAAATAAACAAACAAGGACAGAAAAAAATAAATAGAGAGTGCTGCGCTGCTGCTGCTGTAGTTGTTGCTGCTGCTGCAGCAGCAACTAAGATATAACACCAAAGAAGCAAAAATGCAGCTATTGCTGATCTTCTGCTTCCTCAAAGCAAAACACAAGACAAAATAAAAACAAAACAACAAAAAAGAATAATAAAAACAAAATATTATTTATATTAAAGCCCCATATACACCTAAATATTGTTTGTTGTCTTCTTCATTTGGTGTTCTGCTGTTGCTGCTGCTGCAGCGGCAGCAGCAACAGCAGCGGTTGCTTCTGTTGCCGTTTCTGTGTGGATTTTTTCTTTTAATTTGAACAATATGTATTAATTATACTTATTAATATTATTAATTGCGAGATTTGCACTAATTTCAGTCCATTAACGCCGCAGAAACCTCTTATTTAATATAGCAGCGTCTCTGCCTCTGCATGCAGCACATACAGCTGAGCCGAGCTCTTGGTTTGCGTGCGGTGTCTTCAACTTCGAACGAATCATTAAATACATCTTTTCTACATGCATAGTACATGCAGCAGCAGCTGCTGCAGCAGCAAACTAGGGTGTCTCTCCCTATCTGCGTTGTAAGCGTTTGAAGGCTCCTGCTGCTGCTGTAAATGCAGCTGTTGCTGCACCAGCAGCTGCTGCTGCAGTTGCTGCAGCAGTAGCTACGGCTGTTGCTGCTGCTGCTGCAAGTGTTGCTGATGCAGCAGCTGCTGCTGCTGTAGCTGTTGCTGCAACAGCTGCTGCTTCTGCAGGTGTTGCTGCAGCTGCAGCTAATTAACAATACGCTGGGGAGGATAGGCGAGATTAGCGAGTAGGACAAAATAGAAGAAGTAATTATTTTTATTTTTTTGTTTGCTGCTGTCTGCATTACCTTGTTGCTGCGGCTTTGTTATTTGTTTGTTCTTGTGCTTTGTTTATTGCGTCTTTAGAAGACAAAGGCTTTATTTAATTGCAGCATTTTGTTTATTTACCGGGTGTTGTTTTATGCATTATTTTCTTCCATTTTGCTACATCGATATGTTGGGGTGTATACGCAGCTAATTGACTCCTTTGTCTTTTCTTTATTAGCAACACAGTGGGCTGAAACAAATTATGAATTGCTCTTTTAGCATGATAATAATAGTAAAGTAATAATAGTAATAATAATAATGATAATAATAATAATATTTTGACAATAATAATAATGGTAATATTGATTGTAATAGTAGCAACAGTTGCTGCTGCTGCTGCAGTTGCTTCTTCAGCAGCAACTGCTGCTGCTGCTGCAGCAAACCCAAAATCTTACTATCAAGAAGCATGCATGAACGTACAACACCCGTCTCAGCAGCCACAACAAAACAAACGAAAACTTATGCGTGCATCTTCGCATGCATCTTTGCATGCATCTTTGCGTGCATGTTGCAATCCAGAGTGCAGCCATGGAGGTTAGTTTTATACGCTCTTCTATTTGTTTGCAGGCTGCCTTTTAGGCTCGTTGAGAATAATTGGTAATTGTTTTTAGGGTTAGTGCATGCAGCAAAGAGGGATTGGTTGTGCTTGCATGCAAAACTTCCTTACACCCAGCAGCAGCACATCTGCTGCTGCAACTCGTATTAGAAGCAACAGTTATCTCCTTCAGCAGCATCAGCCCCAACTCGTTGTGTGGCTGTGTTACGACCGCCTAAGAAGTCGAGGGTAAAGCAACAGAAAATATTTCCTTTATATTTTAGCATGCATTGAGGCTATATTGCAACTCACCAAATTCTTCTGATAGCATCGAGGGGGCCCCTAATTAGACCCTTCATTCTGTACTGGGAGCAAACCAACGGAAAATGCAATACTTGTCTGTTGTCAGTTGTTATCAGTTGCTGCAAAGTCAGAAAATTCAACAAAATGCAGCTTTAAATGCTCTCAACTTCGCTCTAAGAGGCAAAATTGCAGGTGTTTGCTGCTGGAGATTATTCAGCTGCGCACCATTGGAGCCCGCTCTGCTCCAGCGTCGCCTCCGTGGATCTCCATTGAACAGAAACAACAGCAGTAACAACAACGACGACAATAATAATAATGAGGGGACTTAGATATTAAAAACATAAAAAACGTCGATACTGAGCCATGCTGCATATACATATTAACTTCTGTTGCTTATGAGGGGTGGTGGGTGCCAGTGGAAGTCGAGTTTCAGGTGTACAGACGGCTGTGTGTGTGAAGGGAAAGGGGTCTGGAATTGGCTCTCCTTATGAATAAAATGTAAGAAACATGTGTTATTTTAGAGTATTAATTCCTAATTAACAAAATAAATTCAAAAAGGAAGAAAATATGAACAGGATTTCCCAGCAAACATACACAACTTGCGGGCCAATCGAGAATCTGCAATGTGTGTGCACAGCGGAAGCAAGGAAACCAGTTGGTGTTGTTTTGTGGAGGTCTTCTTTTCTTGAATATTCTTTTCTTTCATCATTATTTTTGATTTGTTTTGATATTTCTTCTTGTTTTCCTCAGCTTTCCTACTTTATTCACAGCGAAAGCCGAGAGTTTCTGTGCGCGAGTGCCGCTCGCAGATCGTAGACCGGACCGTCGCTGTATTTCAACTTTTTCCTCCGCATTTCTTTGTTTCAATATACTTTGTTATTTTAGAATTCAATTTTGAAGACTTCTACAGGTTAGAATCTTCCTGTCGCCTCAACGAGCTGGAGGCTGCTCGGTGCGTGTTTCTACTAAACCCAAGTTGGGCGTTTCTTAACTTTTCATAGGCGTATCTTTTCAACAGTGAAACTTGCACCACCTTTAGTTCTTTTCTTTTCCTCATTTATTTATTTATTTGAAGATGGAAGCCGACAGAGCCATCCCTTCTCAATTCGTGTTTCCCTCCCCTGCAGCAGACCTTGGGTCTGCTGAGTTGGAGCCCCAAAATGATTTCTATAAGGCGTCCTCCTCACCAGCAGCAGTAGCAACAACAACAGCAGGAGGTGCAGCAGGAGCGGCAGGAGGTGCTGATCGCGCTCCTCAGACGCGCGAGTTTGTCTATCCTCCTACTGTGGAGATGGGGCCCCCCCCTGCTCCTGTTTCCTCTTCTTTTGATATGGGGGGCCCCTGGGCAGAGAAACGAATCGTTGTGGGCCCTTCGTCTTCTGAACGGATGCAAATATACGGCCGAGTGCCTCCAAAGACTTGGGCTGAATCAGCACGAGAATGGCTGGGGAATGTCATGGAGAGTCTCCAGACCCGCCAACAGCAGCAGCAACAGCAGCAGGAGCAGCAGCAGCAGCAGCATCAGCAGTATCAGCGGGTGTTTTATGCATTAGGCCAGCCACGGAGTTCGTTTGAGGGGTTGGTTGCAGACGTGCCTCCTCAGCTTATATATAAGAACGTGGTGTATGTGCCGCATTCAATTGAACGACCTCCTCAGCTATTGGGGCTTCCACCGTATCCTTCACCATACATTGCCGTTCCTGCTGCTGCTCCTCCACCTCCTCCTCCTCCTCCTCCTGTCTTGATTCCTTTGGAGTCAGAGATAATCTGCAGGGGCCATCCATCCGATAGAACAGAACTTTGCTTCGGGTGTACGATCCCCCCTAGACAGCTGAAATTTGATATTGTTAGAGAGGAATTAAGAGGCTGCTTTGGAATCTGCAGAAGTCATCGATTTAAAGCAGTATGCAGAAAATGCAGAGCCGCTATGCCTACATGCAATCAGTGCGGCAAGCAGTCCGTTATACGCCACCCTTAACTAAACCCTAATCCTAAACCCTAAACCCTAATAAACTCTGAACCCTAAACCCTAGAAAAACGCAAATGCCAAACCCTAAACGGGAAACCCTGTGCGAATGAAAGGCTGCATCAAGCGGCAAGCTGAGGCACATTCATTTGCAGTAATCATCTGCTGGCGAGGAGCAGACGTTGAGGGTTTAGGGTTTAGGGTTTCGTAGGGTTTGATCTTACAGGCGCCTTTCGGTGCCTCTCACTCCCTGTCCCCTTCTTTTTCTTTTATTTGATGCCCTTTGTGCAAAACAAACAACTTTGTTAAGGAAGAGTTAGGGTTTAGGGTTTAGGGTTTAGGGTTTCCGTTGGTCAGTCATATTTAATTTATTCAATTCTGCCTCGATAGCTGTTTTAAAGGAGTCTATAAAAGACAGGACAGGCTGTTGCTGTTTTGTTTAAAACAAATTATGTTTAGGTTAATTCTCTCTCGCACTCCGTAGAGTGCTGAGAAACAAATGTTACGGTGTACGAACATAAAACCTTTTATAGACAGCTTTTAAATTGAATAGCAGAATTTTATTGCATTTGTTTTAAAGTTTTAATCAAAAGTTTAAACATCTTTAAACGTAGAATTCCACACCCATTTATTCTACTCGCACTGGCTGCATGCACTTTTTCGAATATGTTTGGTGGATGCATGCGCTTAATTAAATATCTCTCGTCTACATTTAAAAAGAAAGAATTGAATTTGTTCAATTGGAGCGGACTCTACACACTACGACTACAACATCTCTCAGCAGCATATGATATTTCTTTTTTTTCTTTGTTCTCGCCATTAAAAAAATTGTTTTCTGATTTTCTTTGACTGACACCGCTGGTGTTCATCTAAACAAATAAAAGCAAAAGGAGAAGCATTTAGATTCCTATCAACAGCTGCAGAAATTGATGAACATTTTATAACTTTTCTTTGGGCGAACGCACCATGGGTGTTCGCTTATTTGAATTTATGAGTATTGCATTGAAATCCTTTTTTTCTCTTTTCTGCAGTTATTTAATTAGATGATTAGCAACTGAAAACAGTTTGTTTATCTCAGTTTTATTTGATTTATTATAACAGTCTGATGCTGTTATTTCTTCATTGTTTTCTGCTTGATTTGAGGTGTACAGACACTCCACCATCTGAATGCAACATCAGCAGCAGCAACAACGAAGGAATTTTAGGGGAATTCCCTTTACTTTGACGCTGTCTATTTTGTTTTTAAATGTATTTTTAGTATTAAGAACACCACAAAGCTTTATTTGAATGACTATGGCATTCAAATTCTTTTTCTTCTTGATGACGTTGAGTGGTGTCAGCTGTTTTGCATTCAAAACAAAAAAGTTGAAATTGCCGTTCTTTTATCATTCCACTGATGAAATATCAGAAGAACTTGAAAGGCTAGAAGAAAGCTGTTCTGGATTGTCTATAGAGAGGAAACCCCTTGATGGGCAGCACTTTATTGATGTTATTTCAATCAGTAAAACAGATAAACCTATCTCTCGTCTCTTCCTTCTAGCAGGCGAACACGCTAGAGAACTCATAAGCGCAGAAAGCGCTCTTCATTTCGTAAAGGGTGAGGCAGACACCTCTAAACCCTAAACCCTAAACCCTAAGCATTCAACTGATTCCTGCCTTCAGTCTTGTGCGGAGAGGAGCGCAGACTTCGCAATAAGGCAGACGCAGTGCTGGATAATACTTCATTCAAAATAATTGTCAATGCAAACCCAATTTCAAGAAAAAAAGTTGAAGAGGGAGATTTTTGTGTCGGTCTAGTTTCCTGCCTATCTACTCACATGCATGCATGCATCAACATGTTGCATGCATGCATGTTCATGCATATGCATGCATGCAACATATTCAAAGACTTAACGACAATTGCAGCTTCGTGTTAACGAGAATGCGGTGGACCTCAACAGGAACTGGAACGGTAAAAGCATTGAAAAATTGATTAAAATAAATAACTAAATAAATCATTTAATGAGTAAACTCTTAAGGAAATAAATATGTAAATGCTTAAAAGAATAAAAGAATAAATTAATAGATGATTTAATCAATAAGTTGTTGAATGATTTAAATTAGTTTTTAAATTATTAAACTGAATTCAACCATTTAACAGATTTGGGGATATAAACGGCTTAAATGAATTAAACGAATTGAGTGATGAAAATAAATTAAATGAATTAAACAATTTAATGAGTTATATTTTTCATTTGAATAATTAAAATTATTTTTGATTATCTGAATTATTTAAACGTTTAAAGCGACTTAACCTTTTAATGATTTAATTAAATATTCAAATAATTAAATTATTTAAATTATTTAACTTATTTAAACTATATAAATGGTTTAAATGACATAAATGATTAAATGAATTAAAAACTTCAAATAATTTATATTTATTTGGTGTTTTAGTTGAATTAAATGATTTAATTGCTTTAAATGAATTAAATAATTGAGGGATTCAAATTATACAAATGATTAACTGATTTAATGAAGAAATTATTTATTGAATTAAATAGTTTATATTTTTTAATGCTTTAAATGATTTAAACATTTTAAATGATTCATTTTGAATTATATTCAGCACACTGGATGCCAACAAGCAGCACTGAAGAAACATTCCCTGGGCGAAGCCCTTTTTCAGGTTTGTTTATTTAATAAAGATGAAAAATAATTAAATATTTTTAAAATTAAAACTCATCTTTGGCTGCATGCACAAACAAACAAAACAGAAAAAGAAACAAAAATTGCAAGACAAGCAGCAGCGTGTTTCTACCCGGATGTTTTTCTCTCTGTTCATTCAGGTAAGAGGGCTAGAGAGATATTTAAATTTAAAGTATTTATTGTTCTTTTATTTACATGCTTTTAATGCAATAAACATGAAGCAGTTATGGTTTAAGGTGGGGAAGAATAATAAAAAGAATGTTATAAATGCTTTGCCCTCTTCTATGTCTGATACGTATCCTATATGTATATAATATATATATATATATATAATATATATAATATATATATATATAATGGTATACATATATATATATATGTATATATATGTATATGTGTATGTATATGTCGTGAGTTGTATGATGCACAGTATATAATGCACAGTGAATTGTGTATAATTTATAGTACATTACAAATGATAAATAACAATATCAATATAAATACAAACATAAATATATATATATATATATATACTTTTAGGTACGAGAGGTATGTACACTCCGTGGGCGTATAAGGAGGCGGCCCCCGAAACAAAAGACAAAAAAATGGAGTAAGCAGAATAAATAAATAAATAAATAAATAAATAATTTTAATAAAATAAATAAAGATATATATATATATATATATATAAAGAGATGAATAAATAACAAAGTAACCCAATA